TGATTGCTCTAAGAAGATCTCAAAGATACTTATCCATGTTCCTATTGTGCTCCTAACATGTTGGTTTGTGCTTACCCAGCCCCTCAGCTGATATGTGGACAGAGTAAGTTCCCCATCGCTGCTCAAGTGATAATGCCAGACAAAAAAAGAATACACATGGCAATATCCAAACACAGCTACTCTTTCACTACTCAAATAACTATCAGTAAAGGGACAAGCACAGCCTTTTTTTCTGCAAAGCCTGAATAAATGAGCTTTGTGTAGGAAATTCAGAAGGGACTTGAAGCAAAATAAATTCTGCAGTTAATCATTCATCTTAGAGTGGAGTGACTGCTGAACAGCTCTGCTGCCCATTGTAAAGCCTTTCAGATGTCATAATTACTACATGGTGTTAGACCCATGAGTCTGTACAGCTCCAGTTTTGCTGCTCATATCCCTGGCTTGCCTCATTCAACTGAATTTTCCCTAGTCCAACCACACAGAGAAAGGCACAGAGGATTACCACACTACAGCACATATGAATACCCTATCCGTATCCCAATTTGTACCACTTCCTTTTTCCTCTTTCCTCACATCTAGCTGTGTCCAACAGCTAGCAAGACATTTCCCTTTAGGATATTATCATGAACAAGCAAAGATTAGCTATGGAAACTGCATGCATGGTAAGAACACTATACAAGTGAATATTACCTCAGCAACAGAAAATTAATTCTTTTGATAACATTGGAAAGGTTATTTCTCCACTTTTGAAGAGAAAAACCCTGTATATTTCTAAAAGGCAAAACTTATACCCATAGCAGAAACCTTCTCTGTGCTCTTCAATAGAGTATATAAAAGGTTTATGGTTTTCATCAAAACTGATTAGTTTATTGTCTAGACCACAGATTATTTTTCAATAAGATTTCATGTCATATCTGTGAGCCATTCTTGTAATGATGGATGAGACTGGTGTCTTAAAATCATCATTTTCTCTGTCAGCAGGGAAACCCACTGAACCTTGTCAGATGGAATATCACCTCATCCCCTGTACTCTTAGAGTGTAAGGGCATAATCCATTCTCACAGGGATACACAGCAGTCCAGGACTGAACTTACACGTAAGTAAAGGATTGTTATTCAGCAGAAGAATATGAATTATACAGTTATTACAGGAGTTTAAAACTTCTGCTTGAATAAGCTGAAATTGCTACTGAAACATTGTACCAAACACAGACTTCGACACTGCAATCAAAGCTGGCGATTTTGGCCCTTCTGAGAAATAGCATTCCTAGAAATGGTGTCTGCCACTGTTAGTTTTATTCTCTCGTAAAATGAGAAGCAGGGATCATGTGAAGGCGTAAGTGTCAAGTAAGATCTATGTTCAGTTTGCAAAGAAGTGAAACTGTGTACCTTCCATAATTTCAGGCCAAACGTTAGAGCTTAGTTTGCCTGTCGATTCTATGCACATATTCACAGTTTATTTATGTAAGGTCCTTGAAATACATTTCTCTGCAGTTATAAAGAAAAGGAGTCCAACTGTACATAAGATGGGAAAATCAACTCTATGTAATCATTCTCTTCTGTAGTAGAATTAAAGACGTTTATAGTAACTGACTAAGCAGAACTAGGAATAAACCACTGCCACAGGTATGAACTTCCACTTTCATGGTTTATCACTTAGAAAAATCTGCTTGCTGCTTCTGTATTCCTCTATATGATTACAGAGAAAAATAAATAAATATGCTGCTTCACATTTCATTTTTAACAGTTAATTGCTGCATAAATACACAGCATAAAGAAAAGCACAGGCATTTTATTATTTTTTTTAAAAAAAAGGTTCTGAAATATTCAGTTGCCTCTTACTTACATTTGTTATGCAGCAGATACATATGGAAGACCTACCCTGAAGTGACTCTTTCCAAAGGAAGTCAAAGTTAAATTTGCCTAGAGAGAGTCTGAACCAGAAATTTAAACTCCTCATCACTTTGAAGGCAATAAAACTGACATTTATTGCTGTGCAACTACAGCCACACATCTGGATAACTAAAAACTATGTGGCAGATGGATGCTTCAAGAGCCTTTCCCAGAGCCTTCCAGTGCATATCATGTTGTATGTTTAGATGATAAACTCCTGGAAAGGCCTGGACCAGTACGTTTTTCTGTGTTTTATGCAGGTCTACTATTTACAGTGTTTAATACGATCATCACGATTAATCCATGGATAAACCACCCCAAGGAAGCCAATGTTACCTGCTCTGCAAGAGCAGGGACTCAAATGTGGCATAAATACCATTTGCTCCCTGTTATTTACAGTGCCTGTTACGGCTCCCCAGGGAGCCATGCATCCAATGCTTAATTCATGGGTCACACAGGGCAGATGAGTCAACTTTACCAGACTATGAATTAGGCCACTGATATGTATACACCCCCAAAGTCTGCAGGCTGACATTCTATATGTATGTATATACACCTCTAGGCCTCCTACAACATCTACCTCCTTGCCAACTTCCTGACCAAGCCACCTGTAGAATCAGCCAGAATGCTTCATTTGGTGACAGTGCTGAACATCTGTCAACGTGCTGCTCCCATGCCAGTTGCCAGCCCCCTTTGTGTACTTGTAGAAAACCTCATCTCTCTTTATTATGTCAACAAACTTCTGCTCTTGCAACATTAAAAAACTATGTGTAGTAAAATATTTTTCATTATCAAATAAAATCACATTAATGCACTTTTTCCTGTCTACTGCTTTCACAGTAATTGAAGCAATAGTAACTTTTCCATTGGAAAAAAAACCCAAGCAACAAACCCAAACACAAAATTACCCTGAGAAAGATAGATCTAGATCACTGATGGCATAAGGATGAACTGATTTTCACTATATCAGCCTAGTTATTCTACTTAAATTGATGTTATGAAAGGACATTTAGTGACATAGGGCCCTTGAGCACACCATGCCACATGTGCCTGTGAACAGTGCACCACCAAATTGCACAGTCATTCTTTTAACATTCTAAACATTAATTTACAAATACGCCATAGGACTATAACATAAAATGGTGCATCATTTCTTAATACATTTGCTAAATGTATATGGTTCCTGTTCTTTGGTATATACACTTAAATAACAGGACTTTCAAATAGCTTTAACTAGGAAGTGGTAAACTAATTCCATCATCTAACTGGCTGGAGTAAACATCTCTTCAGTAAAGTCCTCCTTGGGCAAAAGGCTTTCCTTTCCTTTTTTTTTTTTTAATAGGACATGAAAGCACCAAGAAAACTAATCCAAATGGGAAAAGAACAGGAAAGAGACTTGCAAAGGAGACACATGATAATATGTATTGTACTGCCTGTTAGGAGAGTAAATTCCTGGCAGGTACCATTATGATACCTTTGTCTATGCTCTCTCTAGCCCTAAATCTTACTTCCAATATTTAGGAGTTATAATTGTAATCAAATCTGTAGACAAAATTCCCTGAGAAATGCCACATAACTTGCCCCGTTGGTGCAGAACACTACACTTCCACGTATCTCAAGATACAGATTGAATTTTGAGTTAATGTCACATGAAAATTCTCATTTCTGACGTTCCACCTTACAAAACATTTACATGCCCAGTAATCTTTACTCCTGAATTACACTAGCAGTTATTACAATCAATACTGAGTACCTGACAAATCTATTTAAGAAAGTCTCTAGAATACTTAAAAGGCTTCATATCTCTGTTTTAACCAAGCAAAAAACTAATAATCTCTGTTTCTGAGTAGTAAAATCCACTCACATTACATTACACCTATATACACTTACACAATATAAATTTTCAAGTGAATAGGGGAGAATCTCTCTCACACTACATTGAGCTGTGAGTCATGAACACTTCCAACAGTCCACATTCACTTGTTTTATCTATTTTTCACAAAGGAACTCATTTCAGCCCAGAACTTAAACATATGCTTAATACTCGGCCAGGCTGTTTCAACACAGCCAGAAAATCAGCAATTTAGTCTGTATCATGTTTGAGTTCCATAATATCCATGTTCTAAAAAAGGATAACAAATTTCTAAATGTTTTCCAATTAATTTTACTGTATTTTAACAAATTCCTCTCAAGCAAAATTTGCTATTAAATTTTACCTGTTAACAATTCGACTCTACTAGACAAGCACAGAGTACACAAGGTTGACAGCGTGTCCTTCCTCATGAATAGGTGAACACAGAAGCTTCTAAGGCTAAGCCGCAATTCTCTAGAATCAGCGCTATATCCTTGGCCTTAAAATATTATGCCAAAAACTGTTTTAAACAATAAGATGAGGACTCCCCAGCACCAGCCAGGAACGTCAGCCTGTCTCTGGGATGAAGGAGCTGTGTGGGGTCACCTGGGAGCAGGAGTGAAACAACCCAGGAAGTGGAAAAAGGGTAGGGGCAGAGATGCCTAAGTGCCTGCTGATTTCAGCCCATGTAACAGTCCCCAAAGGACCGGTTCAGCTGACTTCAAAAAATGGAACAACTGGAACCCCCTGCCTAGTACAGAGAGGCCCAGTTCCGCTCTTGACTGCTTCCCAAGTCAAGCGAGGTACGTACCAAACACGGTTACATCTGCCTACTCAGCGTACGAGCGTGGAGAGGTCCACTCCAAAGAATTACTTAAAAATTGTAAAAATTAAAAAGTGTCAGATCTTCTGACCACATTCCAAATTACTTCATGAGGTGTGACAAAACAAAAAGAAAAGGAGAGGAGATAGAGGTGTGATGTAAGACATAAGATGTAGTCACAGAGGAAACTGTTGGGATGCAAATGGACACATTAAAAGCTTTATCTTCTTGTTCTACTACTCTAATGATGTTTCCAAGTCCTTTAACTAGCCTCATCTTTGCTACAGTTCAAATGGAAGGGTCATCACATGCTGTTGATGCCAAGAAAAGCTCAGAGATTTCTAAAGAGACATCTTCATAAAAATACACATATGAAGCACTTGCTTAAATAACTACAGCCTCTTCAAAGATATTAATTGAGAAATGTAAGTACCTGCTGTCTCCAAGGGCAGGATTCTTGGGTTTAGAATCACTATCATAAACAAAACGCTCCTGGGAGATCACTATGATGCTGTCTGTTGTTTCATTTCCCAAGATTGTGATAACAGGATAACCCATCTGTAGTGTCCACTGATCCATTACTTCTTGGATATTTACAGATTTCCCAACCCTTTTTAAAGCCTTTAAGAAAAAAAGACAAGTTTCAGTATGTTAAAGCAGTATCATCATCCAACATATAAAACTTTTTTTTTTGTCCCAGAGACCACAATTAGCTTTAGAGGTTTAAATAACTATCTTGTATTAACACACACACATTTATATCCCGTACACACATGCTACCTAATTTCACCAACAGTCTGTGTGTATCTTAAAAATAAACATTGAGCAATCTTGGCAGAGAGGAGAGTGACAGTCAGAAAGTCATGTTTTCCATATCATTCAGGCACTTTCGCTGTAATAGAAGACATAACCTGTTTTACAGGGTTTTAACAAGAGCCACAGAAATACTGGGTGGCTGTTTCCAAAACATATTCTTGACCAGCTAAGGTTAAAAAGACACAGTTTTAGCTGATCTAGGGCACATAGAATACAGCATATTCAAAGGGCCAGATTTCAAAAAGTACAGAGCTTCTCTGTTCTGTAAACCAAATAACTAGTTATCTTAAAATTCTGTCCCTCATATCCAAAGTGAGGTCATGTATATAAAGATATTCCCAGCTCCTTCATAAACTGCATCTGTCATAACACACAGAGGGTTATCATGTTCATATTTGATACTGTATGTCAATAAAAATGCTGTTTTATAAGTGGATTTTTATGGAAACAAAAAGAGAGACTATAGTATCATGGGAGATGAGACTGGTTATGAGAAGAATGACAGGCATCATTTGTTCTTCAGTGACAGAAATGTCCCTAGCTGCCAAACAGTCCTTGATCACAGACTGAGCAACCTCTGATGAACACAAGCAGAACCCAGCAAGAAGTGCTCAGAACTGAAGCTACAATTGCAATGCATTGGGAACAAAGCAGCTGACAAAAAATGTGCTTACAGGTGAGGCAAACAGAATTATTAGCCTTAACATAAGCTTATAGTAGAGCTTTAGTGGTTATGGACCAGAATACAGTCCCATTTTTGTTGTATCTTATTTGCTTTGGGTTCTGCTGCTCTTTCAAGACTGTATTCATCCCTCTGTCCTCTCGGTGAGAAGCAAGAAAAACTTTTGCAGCAGCATTCAAATTCTGATTAAGACATAGATTTAAGAGCCTTACTGCATGCTACATGTCTCAACTCAATTAACAGTCAGTACAGATATAGAATACGGTTCAATTGTCATTTAACCTTGACCTGCCACTCCAGAGGGTACAGATTTCCCCACAGATTTTGTCTCAAATCAGTCAGACCCACCTGAATGTCTTGAACACTGTACTGCACCTAATCAGGCCCTAGTTGCCTATATTTGAACAACTATCTGAAGCCTCTAGTTAAAAATCAGTGGTTCAGGCTCATTTTAAAATAACTGTCTAGTGGCTGCTTAACTGAATTGCTCTCTATGCTCTGCTGACTATCTTATCCTATTTCTGGTATCCCTAGATTTCTAGGACTCCAGTCATCCGTATTCAGCAAGAGTTGGCTGAGATGTCCTACAATATCAACACATCCTTGCAGAACTGGGCGACCTACAGCAGACATGCTTATTTCATGTGGCAGCTGGAAGCGAGGTAAAGGTAAATGTTTTTAGGTGTCTACGAACAAGCAACAAAATCCAGGCCCTGCTGGCACAACATCTACCTTGTATGTATATACCCACTTGCCTAGATGAATGCATGTGTCTTGACATCCAGCTGAATCCCGGCTTTGGTGTCAATAATGACAACCAGATTGCCATGTTTACACATGGTTTGAGTTGGTATTTGTGCACAAACTCCCTGACCTGACTCTGTATTGCCTTGTACACCATCTTTATTCTGAAGTGCCCAGACTAGCTCTGTAGGTAAGAAATTCAGGCATGCTTGGCTCAGTTTATGAAATTAAACTCTGCCCTCATAGATCCCTGGACCTGGCTCTAGAAACTTGGGCCAAGTTTGGGCATAGGAACTAAAGGGAGCATGGACATAGCAACTGTAAGTCTGTACAGCATGCTAAATGTTACAGTAAATACCTACCTGTTTACACCAAACTTTAAAGCTTTAACAGTTTTGTCCTTCACACAAATCATAAATCCATACAAAATCACAAACACACCTGATATAAATGCCAAAGCTCAGCACTTCCATGTGCTTTCCAATTTATGGGCCTCAGCCTGCTGCCACTAAAATCAACGGTGCAGATTCCATGGAGTATCTTTTAGTGCACATTAGTGACATAGCAGAAGCAAGGAAATATATTCTAACATAACGAAGAAAGAAATGCTGCAAAAAAACATATTTTATGTTTCCACTAGGTTAACTCAGATGGAATTTCTTTGCATCAATTTTTATACTTGCTCTGGGGTCTGAAGATCTCAATATGCACTATTCACTCCTAACCTCACCAAGAAAAATATCAGTAATTCCTGCTTCTCCCTCAGTGCAATAGATTAAAGCATTTTACCTTTGACAGTGTGTTCCAGAGATCATTTCTGGCTGCATTGCCATACTTGTGAATGGTTAAATAGTCCTACAGAAATAAAATAAAAATACAAATCAGTATTACTATACACAAGGGAAATAACTAGAGCTGTGAGTCACTGCTATTTTAAGTTCAATCACATTAATGTTTGCATTTGTCAGAAATCTAGAAATATACAATATGTTCATCCTAAAGGAGTAAACAAACAGTTTCTTAAGCTAGTTTACAATTCAAAAATTGTTGCTAAAAATTCCATTTACAGCATTCAGTGCTCTTCCTTTTCTACATACATCATTTTACAAGTTAAATATTTTGAACATATATTTACAATACTTGGCTAATCTCAGAAGAGGTTCCTAGGTAATTCTCAGCAATGAAAGGAAAAGCTGCTGAAATACAGTTCCAGTTGCTATTTTAGCAGGTCATTCTGCATCTAGTGTCAAAACTTTGCTCACTTGGATGACAGCTGTATTTGTTACAAAAGATTTAACTGAGCAATAGCCTTCCTGAACTACAAACTCTTACCTAGGGGGAGACTGGTGCTTCGATGTCAAAATACATCATACTGGCAACTGGGGCTGTAAGAGGTTATCACAAAGGCTCTCTATGACAGGGAGTGCTGGAAGAAGGGTGACAGGAACCCAACTGTGTGCTACAGGTACCTACATGTGTGTTTTCATTACGTATGGGACTCAGTCTGAGGAGGTTATAAATTGGATGCTTCTATTTATTCAGTCACAGTTTCAGTGACTGAGAGTCCATTCTTCTCCCATAGCAACCAGAAAAATAATTCCTGATAAGCTACTATAATATTTAATTCACTTCCCAAAGTAATAGTTCAAACATATGATCAGGTTAGGTCTGGGCCTTTCAGGCACAAAATGCTTCCAAGTTTTAGAAATATATGAAGGCAACACTGGTAGTTTCCCACCATCCTATGTCCCTAGACAACAGTTCATTCAATTATAGAAAAGAAATTCAGCAAAGATTATTTGAATAGCATACACTTCAAACATTCTGAGTGGAAGAATTAAGTGAAAAAAACTCATCAGATGATGTAAATCAATGGGTTCTCCCACATTTGAATTTCTACCATCTTCACTTTACACAATGGTTGAAGACAAACCCTAATTTACAGCACAATGATAAAAATCAGACAAATTTGCTGACTCTGTTATCTGTGCTTTGTGTGAAGAAGAATACTTTGCGAATAATTAGTATTTAGAAAGCAAATTTTCTGATACACAAATTGTAGCACCTGTGACAGTTTTAGCTTTTGTCAGCCAACTCATAGTACAACAAGCAAGAACTCCCATTTAATCACAGGCTAGGAAGGCTAAATGAGAACACTGACCCTGTAAATGCAGTGCTGAGTCTTAACAATGTCATGAGACTAAGCTGGGGGAAAAAAAAGTATTATATAGGCTGCACCTACAGCACACTCTGCTTTCATTTTGTCTAAAAATACAGAATCATCTGAGGCACAGTGCAATATTCAATAGTTTTCAAAGCTGAAGAAGTTGAATTGCAAATTAAAAAGCTAAAGTAGGACTAAACCAAAGTAGGCCAAGGTAAATAAATAACAATGAATGTACATGTAGATTCTAAGTGGTACTAGAAAATGCTGCATGCATTGGTCCTTCTGAGAGTTGCTTTCAGAATCATTAACACAGTAAAATATCATGGGGGGGAAACTTGAGGTTTACTCCATCCAGGCAACAATCCTTTTTGCCAGTCTACCATTAGACATTAAATTTGACTTTTATATTTTGCATTCAGAATTACTGCAAAGAGATTAAATGATTCTGCCCTTTTCTTTTGATTGCTCTCCCAATACACAGATTGGGAGGTTTAGATGTGGTCCATCACCCAGTTAAAAATTGATCATTCTCCAATCTTACATGTTTATCACACAAAGGAAAACAAAAGGAATCCTAACATTTACAATTAAATAAGAAAATACAGTGCTAAATACAACATAAAGTATACCTCTTGTACCAAAAATCTAGAAAGGGTATAAAACAGGACAAGCATACAGTGATACTTCCCCAGTATGCTCTTCCATCATCCAGCACTTCACAGCACAAGGAATCCTGAGCAGATTTGACATATTTGTATTCAATAGTTACATTCTGTGAAATTGGCCAGTTACCTTTTGAACCCATATTAATGTTTAGCATTTGCAACATCTTATAAAAAAGCATTTCCCACCTTATAAAAAAGTATTTCCCACTTGGGCAATCTGTGATGTGAAGATACCTGTTTCAAACATCTGCCCTTCTGTTGGCTTTGCCTGCTGGCTTCATCTGTCACTCCCCAGTTCTGACACTAGAAGACACAGGGCATTCCTGTTGTCTATTTCATGCTACCAAAGCCAGCCATGCTTTTACAGATCTGTATCATATGTGTCCTCACACCAGAGCCTGTTTTTGTACTGAGAACATCACCAGATTCAAACACTCCCAGCTATATTAAGAAATTACATTTTTTGACCACCATCCAAGCTGTTGACTTGCAAGCTAGCTAAGGTTACCATGACCCAGACCAAGCTTACATTACCAAATTAGTAGCCTCTCTTTAAGTACCTTTCATGGACAACCTCAACTTAAAAAGGAAGACTCATAGAACCATAGAACGAATGGGGTTGGAAGAGACTTTTAAAGGTCATCTAGTTCAGCCTCCCATGCAGAGTGCAGGAACCTTTATAACTAGATCAGGTTGCTCAGAGCCTGGTCAATCCTGACCTTGAATGTTTCCAGGGATGGGGCCTCCACCATATCTCTGGGCAACCTGTTCCAGTGCTTCACCACCCTCATTGGAAAGAACTTCTTCCTAATGTCTAATCTAAATCTACTCTACTCTACTTTAAGACTAAGAGAAAAAGCTTATACATATCAGTATCAAATACACCCCAGGAAGTATTAAAGTAGGAGACAAAGATCTACACATACCTGACTTGTCCGTTCTAAGGATGTAACAAGCAGGACCATAATCAATTTTTCCTCCTGGGGACCCATATCTAAGCCTTAAGTAGCTTGAAAAGGGGCAGAAGACGTGTTCTCATTCACTCTAATCTTCCAGGGCAGGAATATTAGCCACCCCTTTCTCTTTACATTGAATAGAAAAGAACAAAAGCAAACAGAAGAGAGGTGCAAGCCACAGAACAGATAAGGAGGATGACACTGAAAACACAGCTGCCTGAACACAACCTGCACTCAGCACAGCTCCAAAGAAGGTAAAGTGACTTAAAGCTGCTTTCTCATGAACACATATGCCCAGAACCATCTGGATGCAATGTTGCTTCCCATCATAAATTCACAAGTCTATCACCTACAAAAGCTGTTCCATCAAACAGAGTATGCTGGAGCATGAATACATGCTTCAGCCACCTTCCTAGCTTTCAGCTATAACCCTATAGTATGTGTGCAGATAAAAGTTGACATGAAAACCTCTTAACAACTCAAGACTAAAGAGCACTCTTCTAAAAATTCTCCTTTCTCTTCCATTGTAATGTCACCTCTACACTTTTTATTTATCAAGGGGTAAGCAGAAAGAGAGTTCACAGATCCTAGTGCAGGGTCACTCAACATGAAAATCAATAAAACAGTCAAAAACGGTAAGTTGTTTTTACTTTTCCATCAGGCATCCTCTTGAAATTTTTGAAGAAATATTCTTCTTAACATCTTGTCGTTAAAACATGAAGCCACTCTTTGCCAAAAATAATATGATCCTTTAATTTCTACCAATAAAAATTTTGATCAGAAAATGTAGTTTTCTGACATGTGTTTCATTAATTTTTAACGTCAAATGAAATTTAAAAAATCCAGAATCTGTCACACCATGAGAACAAAGTCCAATTCCTGCACAAGCAAAACCTTAGATAATGCAAAAGTCCCAAAAGATTTAAAGTATAATATAAAGTTTTGTCAAGTAGTAGTAGTATTAATCCCCTCTCCCCCCCCAAAAAAACCCAAAAAAGACTCAATGCTTTTGAAGTCTTTTTTTTACTTGAATACTGAAGTGGACAGTAGTAAAAACAGTACAGTGAAAAAGCACTAAACAATTCTGAAAGATGTTTTTAGTAAAGTTGTATTGATTAAGTTTGCAAACCTTTTATTGTAATAGACTTTTTAAATAAAAGATTATTGAAAAGAAAAAAGTCTTTTATCCCTTCACAATCCTGGTTCTCTCAGTCTTGCTAGGGATTGAGCCTCTTGGCTTCAAAGAAATGAACTACCTCATCAGTCAAACACGATAACACAACTAATAAAAGGTAGTGACTGATGAATGCAAAGAGGTTAAAAAAGTGTAAAGGGGGAATAAGTCTCCAAACACATATCTTACTTCCAGGGGAGACTTCAGATCTGTAACTGGGAACTGAAACATCAATTCTAGGAGCAAACTCCTTTCTCAGTTTATCTGTTTGAAGTTGTTCAGTGGCTGAAGGAACAGCTCCCGACTTATACAAGTGGTGTTGAGATCTGAAACAGATTAACATTGAATAACTTATTTTTTTTCCTAAAGATAACTGTGAAAATCCACTATGTAAGATGAGTGAGGAAAAAGCAGCAAAATATTTTGCCATCAAATTCTTGCAGCTACGTTCCTCTGAATGTTCTCATTTCACAGGGCTCAGGGAACAGCAGTATTGCCTCGACCTATCTCTTTTCTATTTCATTCCTACCCCTAGGTGCACATCCTCCTCCTTTCAGCCTACAATATGTTCTTGTTGAACAGTTTTATACATGACTGCTGTATCTCACCAAAGATTTAGAGCTACTAATAAAAACGTTTAATTCAGGTGGAAATCAGGCTCTAAGGCTCCAGCTATCAAATCCAGCATGTTTATTTTCCCAGAAATTTGTATATTTAACCCTAGGCCACCTGAGAGCATCTGTCAGATGCTGACTATATAACGTGCCACCTTTTTTGCCCCCTTTCTTCCAGCACTGCTAACATCAAAGCTGCTATCACATATTATCTTGACATTGCTGAACATCCAAACAAAACGGGCTGGGCAAGGGTCAGAGGAAGGCAATGCATGTGTT